AGGTTAAAAAAAATCAGTTGAAATGCAAAATGTAAAATATTGACAAGGAATTCTACACAGATCAATGGAGGAAGGCAAATGTGAAACTCTCACAGGGAATGTGGAGCTTGCCTTTAAATATATATCATTTGTGAGTTGGTTTTTGCTGTCTTTAGAGTGTAAATACTTTATTCCAGGGTCACGTAAGCCACAGCTCATGCAACGTAAATGCCCCACAATATCACAATACCTGACTCCCAATACAAACTCTTAAACACATTATTATTTGCATTTAGAAAGGTGGATTGAAATTCAAGGAGTGTGATCTGAGCTCAGTGCTATTTCTCATTTGGTAGAAAAAGTCTAAATTCATCTTTAGTTTTAGGGATGGGAAAGTGATTTCTGTGTAAAGTCAATCAAATTAAATGTGTCCCTGGTTTGGCAGAGGATTAAAGCTTTGCACTCTAACTGTATACATGTAGTCTGCGGGACACCAAGGTAAACAACGAGGCACACCATGGTGACAAAGGTTGTGAGATCCCGAACCTATTCATTATACCATTCCTTAATTATAATCTGTTTTGGTGTGCCATTACCATTTTCTGTTCCTGTTATCACATTTCATCCTTCAGATAAAATTAGACCACTGGGCTGTAAACATCTCAGAATTGCTGTTCTGTGATCAATTAATAGGAAAATGTGTTTACGGGTTGCAATGCACCATCCAAACCAAAAGTTCAAATCATATATGCCCAAGATGTTACTGATATCCTGAAAATTAAGCCTTACTACATTCATGCATCTGATTGAATGTCTCACGTTGGCTGAACTAAATGGATGAAAGAAGTCAAGATAAAATCGTATGCAGGCTATGCTCCAGAAACTGCAAGTAACACAGGCACCTGAGCTGGCCATTCAGCCCCTTAAGCCTGTTTCACTGTTCAATATGATCTTGGTTGATATGTACCCCAACTGTATTTATCTATCTTAGTTTTACGTTCCTTAATACCCTTGACTGGCAAAAATCTGTTAATCACAGATTTGAAATTACTAATTTATGGTATTTTGTGGAAGATGTCTCCACACTTGGATGAGAATTACACAGGAAAGTTGTCTTTGAATTTTCTCCTTAATGACCTTGCTGTGGTTTCAAGGTATGTCTTTGACTCCTCCATTAGCAGAAGTTTTGTTCTGCTCTATCAATTCATTTTATGTGACCTGAGTCATTTAACCTTTTATATTCAAAGGAAAATAAAACCAGTTTCTGTAATTTCTTCTTCATTTAACCATTGAAGTCTGGTGAAACTGCATTGAATTCCTTCCAAGGTCAACTTATCATTCTAAGGAAAAATGTCAAGAATTGTACAGAATCCTGCTGATGTGGCATAATGATGACTTTGAATAGATTTGGACAATTGTACTTCCTTTTTATATTCTAGTCCTTTACATATAAAGGCTGACATTCTATTAGTGTTTTTATTACATTTTGTATCTGTACACATGGTGTGTATTAACAGATCTTGACATTTCTTAGAATCTCCATTATTCCCAACTTTACGGTGTTAAGAAATCATTTGATCATTATTAATTCTTAAGTGGATGACTTCATATTGACCTGTATTGAAATCTGTCTGCCATAGCTTCACCCATCTACTTAATCTATTGATATCTCTTTGTAATTTTATGCTCCAATCTACAACACCAACTATGCCACCCTATCTTTGTGCAACAAGCAAATTGGATATGTGGCTCTCTATTATGTTACCTAAGTTATTAATAAATATTACAAACAGTTGAGTTCTGTACACATTATTATGAAACACCATGAGTAAAGACAAAAGGTGGAATCTGGCATTATTCAACTAAAGGTCTTTTTGACATCACAATTGTATGATTGAATAGTATTAATCTTAATAATCAAAATTACAAACAGCAATATACTATACTCATCCATTTGTGTTAATATTCTCTCAATGAATAAAAAGCAGAATATTAATTATTACTCATCCAACTTATACAAATGGAAATTAATTGACATAGAATGAATTATTCATGGTCAATGTGATGATACATCCTTGCAATGTGGATAAGCATTTCTTCTACTATCCACTTCCTCACTGTCAGGGATGTAAGCCGGCTGGATTTCTATCAGGCACCTAAGTGGTCACTTGGTGGTCCTATTGGTGCATCACTTGAAGGGACACTGATGACCTGCCTCACTGGATTGGCCAATCTGTGATGGCAGCCACTGAGAGTGGCCTCAGAGGCCACGGTTGCCGGTGGCACAGCAAAGCCAAAGTCCAGGACTGGCAGACAAGGTCGGCAACATCTTCTGGTAGGGGCTGCAGGTTAAGAGACACAAGGAGAGAGAGGATACTGGAGGTCAAGGGTAAGGACAGAACGAGCATAAAGTAGCTAGCCTCTGTCCCCTCCCTTAACGATCAAACATAGAAAAAGGCAGGTCAAGGATCTCATACCCCTAGGCTGGCAGTAGGCCACTCTGTTTTACCAATCATTAAAACTTGCCAGGAACAGAGAATCACAGCCCCTCGCATGAAGAGCCCCTTACGTGGTCATTAATTGATCATTTAAGGGCCTTAATTGGTAGCCGGGTATTAAAGTTGAGCTTAAGATTCTTGTGATGTAGTGGTAGAGTCCCTCCTTCTGGGCAGAAGAGGCTTGCATTCAAGTCCCACTGACTCCAGAGATGTGAAATAGTAACCCTGAGCATATTGTTTGGAAAATATCTTGAAGTTGAGCTGGGGGTCCCAGAGTTGGCAAGAAGATGGTGGGTATCTTTCCGATACCAGCTGCCCAATTATCTTCCTCTCCTGCCACCTTCCCCACCACTCCTTTCGGCAAGTGACAATTCCACTCAGTAAGTCCTCACATTTCTGAGCTGACATCCAGAAGTAATGACTATACTGCAAGTATCTGCTGCACATATAAATAATCAGAACAACAGAGGCCCACAGCAGATTCTGACACAAAAGATCGAGGATTAAGTATCTACCTTATGTGCTCCTAGCCCATAGAACCAGGAGCACAGATGTGGAATTTGATTGTACTTCAATTTGCAAAAGTTCCATCCATGGGTGGAACGCATGATGAACTTATTGATGTGTTAATAAGATCTTAACCTGAAACATCATTTTGCTTGTTCATTCACTGATGCTGTCTAATCTGCTTTATAGTGACAGCATTTTATGGTTTTTAGTTTTCAGCACATGGAGTATTTTACTCATCACCTTCTGTATTCTATTGTCTAGCCAATTCCCCAAACTAATGTGCTGTTCGATTCAAGGTTTACTACCTTCTGTAATTGTCTGAAATAAAGAGCCTCATCAAGTGCTTTCTGAAAGTGCACATATCATAAAGCCATTGGCTAACTTTCCACCTCTCATTTCAGTTACCTCCTCAAAGAATTCCAGTAGATTAGTGAGGCATGACCTATTGCTTGAAAAGTCATGCTGATTGCTACTTATGGTTTCTATGCTCTTTGCATGAACGGCAAAATGTCACGTAAATGTGAAAGCACTTTTTTCCACAAAGGATATTTGTTGAACTAATTCGTGGTTACATTTTGCAATTCTGTGTTTTAAAGTCAATGCTCAAGGTTACTTCCATAACCCTGGTAGAGAAATTTCCATGACTCTACAAACTAATATCGAAGTTACAACGTCATAAAATGCCTAATGCATATGGATTTTCATGCAAATCTTGTCTGGCTCATATATCCTAAGAAGTCAAAATAAGGATATAAGCCAAACCTGGGTGAATTTTCTTAACGAGCTTGGCATCCTTCCAATTCTCTCAAAGAGGACCTTCTCTTGCTTGTAGTAGATGGAATTCAATGTTCATCCAGAAAAGTAATGACTCTTCAATTGTAGGTGAGTGATTTACATTGTTTTCATATTAAATGTTCTGGAAATTTTAAAGGAAATCTCCATCCACTGAAAATACACAGAATAACTAAACAGAACACAATTACCCCCTGCTTATCATTCTAGAGATCCAAATAAAATTGTGATTTTACATCACTCAACATTGAAATTAAAATGCTTGCATTATTTAGCCCTGCACACCTTCAGTTAATGAGTAACTCCTGAATCCACAACTTTATAAGAGCCTTTTTCTCATCCTGGAGAAAAACTTGATCTCTTTGTCATATACAAAGTTCACATGTTTCTTCAGCAAACCTGAAACACAATCAGTGGAACATAACCCTCAGTTTTTATTTCATCAGCCATTGACTTAGCCAAGCTGTGCAGTAAAACTGATATATCTGTTTGTTTCCTCTTTCTCCAGCTTTCTTTCCTGTCTGAAAGGCAGAGGCAATGAGAAAATAACACTTCAGCCAAACAGCTGAAAATGTGGAAAATTGTGCAAGTTGTAAAGGCCAATCAGGTTATTCAGTCAGCCTGACAGGACTTTTTCCCTCACAGGTACATTCATCACAGAAAGGCTTACATCATACATGATATTTCGTGACCTCAAAGCTTCCCAAAGTGCTTTAAAACTAATTATGAGACAGTAAGAACTGCCGATGCTGGAGTCATAGATAACACAGCGTGGAGCTGGAGGAACACAGCAGGCCAGGCAACATCAGAGGAGCAGGAATGCTGATGTTTTGGATCAGGACCTTTCTTTAGAAATGGGGAAGTGTCCCAACCCAAACTGTCAGCTTTCCTGCTCCTCTGATGCTGCCTGGCCTGCTGTGCTCCACCAACTCCACACTGTGTTATCTTAATACTAATTATATTGTTTTTAAGTGCAATTGTGATGTGTAACATAGGAAATATGAATGCCAATTTGCTCACAGCAAGTTCTCACAAACAGCAATAATTACTGATTATTTCAGTTACTACTTGCAAGTCAAATGTTAGTTAGGGTTCTCCTGCTTTTCATTGAATCTTACTGGATATTTTACATCTACATGAAAGGTGCAAGGAATCCTCAATTTAGTGTCTCAGCTGAAAAATAGCACTGTCATCATTGACAAATAAGACAATTAATGCGTATTCAGTTATTCATCTTTATTTTATGCCTCCTCTTTGATCATTTCATCAAAAATCATCCAATTAAATGTTAACACAGATGCCATCCACATAACATTTAATACACAGTCGTAATTGGTGATTTCTTTAAAGCACAAACAATTTTAAACAAAGGTTTCTAGTTTCTGTTTAAATTGTATTGCCACCAACCCCAGAGTACTGATCAGATATTTAAAGAAAGTAAAATATCCCCAATAATAAAGAGATGATTAAACTATTGAAAGTAATTAATGTTGTCTACCATGTGTCAAGATTGTACATTTTACACGAGGAAGGGAGTAGTAGGCTGGAAGTTACAGTTGTTTATATTATTTCATAAACATACTTGTAGCATATTTCTTTCTTTAAACTGTTAAGACAACCATTGATCCCTAACATCTCCATTAAAAATAGCAGAGATGAATGTTGTACCAGTGTTTAACTAATTGTACAATGATACCACTGCCAGTAACTTGTGGCCCTCAACTGGCCAAATGCATACATTCACAGTATCTACATTTCAATTTAGAGAATGTTATCAAATATTGCTTAAGAGTAAAAGAGACTCCAAAAACCTGCATGCATCCCATTCAGTTCTGAAATAATTCAGACAAAAGTATGGAGATATGATGGGGATTTAAGTTTATCTTGAATGTGCCAAAGCCTGGCATTTGCCACTTCTTTAGGAGTCCATTTAAGGTAGAACTTCCCCACCATCAATAGATGATATGAAGGAGGGATTACCCCAAACACAATCCCTCAGACATCGCTAGGTAAAAACAGACATACCATTCCACTGAATCCCTGAAGATTTTTGGCATTGTTTGGGTCTGTTCAGCTCTCCTTGCAAGGGGTGGGGGTTAATAGACCCCTTAAAATTGAATTGATAGGCATGGTCATTACAAATCAAACAAGCCATGGGTATTGGCCAATTCTACCCTTGACAGCTGTGCATTATGACACAGAGACTTCTTCATTTTACTCAAATGAAGGGAACCTCCTCAATCTCAAATAATTTAGTCAAGTCAGCAGAGATTGATACCAGGATTTGCAGAGATATTTGAACACATTATTTATAAATTATAAAATAAGACTAGCTAAGATTTCATATAGGTTCATTGCCTTCACAACTGTATTGCAGTAATAGAAACAACATAATTGGGATTTGAGAGATTTCCCTGATAACTTCAGTCTTCTAGCTTCCTCACAAGAAGCCAATAATTTTGTAATACCAATGGCGCAAGACAAACCGAAACAAAAAAAAAAGCTGGCAATCTAGCATAAGTAGATTTCCAGAAAAATTAATGTAATTGAGAGAAAAAATTGCAATGCACTTGCAAAGGTTCTTTTCACAGGGTTCCTGAGGGCAGAGGGCATGGATATCCCAAGAGCCGCATCCGACTGATTCCACCATCTGGTTTAATTGTTAGTCGCACGTGAGTTAGAGTATCTTTCATTTCAGTGGAGTAGGAGTGTTGCTGGTGTGGTTTGAGCTAAAATTGAAACATAAAGGAAAAAGCAGTTATTACAGTCTAACTTTGATGAGAAGGAGCATTTTCTTAAATAAAACTGTTTAGAAAACACCGTTTAGAAGGAGATGAAGCAGAAGATGAACTACGAGCTATTGTCCTCGCAATGAGATCATGTCACAAAGATACAGTAAAACTGACAAGACTCAAACAATAGAGGGATGTCACAGGCTTTAAACCCTAAGCTTGCTCTCATAATGAGCTGCATATTCCCATGTCCTTTGTCTTTTGCATTTAATATTAATATTATGTTTCTCTTTGCCAATTTACACACTTGTGCTTTTAAACAAGCAAAGTGAGACAATCAAACACTGTTTCATTAAAATAATCCCCCTTAACTGAAACAAAACAAAAGCAAAATTGTAAATTTTCTTCGATAAAAGTGCGCTGAAGTAATTAAAGGTATCATGTTATGTTGTCAGGAGGATAAATAGTGATAGAATTAGTATCTTAGAATGGCCCGAGATGTCACTAACAGAATTGAATGTGGTTATCAGTATTCCAAAATATTATCCTTTCAAAAGCACTTTTTTTTTAGATTTTTAATGAGTAGATTTTATTGACCTGAACTCCAAGTACTACTTGGGGGAAGAATATCAAAGATGACATGCCTCTAGCAATATTAATTTTATTTATTTCTTTACAATTGAAATGAAGGTCCAAGACAAGTTTAAAGGGCTTAAAGCAAATACATCCCTGAGGCAGGTGAGATTTATACTAGAGCGCTGAGAAAGACTATGGAAGAAACTGATGACAAACACTATGAGCGAGTAAATACACAATGTAGGTCCTAACAGATTGAAAGCATTTGTGCACAAATAATATTGTGCACATATTCAAAATAGTGATAGATTATACTATTATTACCACAGTGGTTAATTCCAGATCACCTACGGGCATACTGAACTTTTAATTGCAATGAGAATTCTTAAAGAGGTCATATAGCCAGAAAATGGCTAAGAATGTAAATTTTGAGCAATGAAATTCAGTAATTGCCTGCAAGGCTTGTGTAGATTGTCTTCAGCCTCAATCAAGAAGATGGAATGTCACACCAGATGGGTGTCAAGGAAATTTCAGAGAGAAGGACTTCAAATGGAGAAAAACTGAATCGCAACCTCTTGTGAGTCACCTCAGACTGTGAAAATGATGGGAGAAAAGAGATCAGTCTAGGCAAGAAACATTGGTGCTTTCTGTTTTCAAGAATACACAAGAATGGGTGTTATAAGCCAATTTCAATCCTGGTCCGTCTGTCATGATGGTCACAGCTAAGAACTTATTACTGAGAGCTGATCTTAGTCATCTCTGCATTACATGTAAAAGAAAAGTCTCTCTCTCTCTTTGTTGGACATCAGGATGCAAATGAAATCACAGTCTCCAGAGGAAATAATACAAAGGCCTTTCAGCTTAACTGCAAAGCCGAGTATCTCAAAATCAACCAGTTACCTGCATACATCTCTATTACTGGCATTATCCACGTTCTTCAGAGACATATGTATGCACTTTTTTTTAAAACTTATCTTTTTTTGACTCCAATCTCATTTCTAATCTATTAAGGCGTGTTATGTTATTATCACTTTTCGCGTTTACCATTTAATACACACTTTTTTGTTAATTCAAGAAACTCTGGTTAAATTGGTTCCATTTAACACATAAATTCATTTGGACTGGGAGAAAAGCATTCACAGGGGAAGGGTCTTTTTTAAAAATGTACCTTGTTGCAACCAACTTGGAGATGGGGGGCTAGGGGTGTGCACAGTTAATCCTTCCTCACCCACGAGCTTAACGATTTGGGGTATCCCATCTGGAACTGTAATACATTGGGAAACCTCATGCAGGGATTGGTCCTAACAAGACACTAGCAACTACTGACCTACTCAATTCTAGGTAAAATAATAAATCAATTATCAACAATAAAATTAAAAATAACCTAATGAACAGTAGTCAACATGGCTTTAAAACTAACAGTTATGCCTGATAAATTACTTTGATTCCCTGAAAGAAATAATTCAAGTGGACGGTGGTAAATCCTACAATATTGTTTCAAAAAGGGCAGTGATAAGGTTCATGTGAAGGGCTATTGCTTCAGCTGAAATGAGCAGGACTAGGCCAATCAGCCCTCTAAATTGTTCACCACTACTGGTTGATCCATTTGTCACTTCGACGTTCCCATCTTAGCTCTAATACCCAACATATATGACTAACACAAAGCAGAAATCAATAAATATATCTTGCCAGAGAAACAGAATACAAGTCAGAGATCTGGTCAAAGTAACAACTTGACCATTAAGATCAGTCACAATGGTGGCTTACAGTCAAGCAAGACATTCAAGAGCTTGAGCAGTGCAGGAAAGAACTATAAACAGATCACTGGTGTCTGGGGTCCACATGAGGAGTAGAAATGAAAGAGTTTTCAGTGCGAAAAAAGGCACCTGAGTGGTTATCATGTCCAAGTAGATGATGTATTATTAATTCAGAATAATACTTTGAAAAAACCGGGTAACAAGCTAAGAGGACATATCTTAAAGCTAATAAAATATTAATTTTAGGACCGACAGTAGAAAGTTACTTTTCATGGGGAACAATTAACTCACACTTAGGAACAGGAGTAGGCCATTTACCATTTGCCCCACCATGCTTCATGAACATTAATTATTGTTGCAGTTGGGAAAACGCATAGAGAAACCCAGTATAAGTAATGCAAACCTGGCAGAGGTGGGAGTCAATGAGAATCAAGAACATATTAATGTGTTGAAAGTAATTCTGAAAAGGTTTACCAGACTAATACCTGGAATGGAAAGATTGTCTTATAAGGAAAGATTGGACGGACTAGCGTTATATCTGTTGGAACTTAGAAGTAAGAGGTGACTTGATTAAAATGGATTGACCATGTTAAATTGCCCATTGTGTCCAGGGATGTGCAGGTTTGGTGGAAAAATCATGGGATAGGGTAGTGGGGCGGGTCTGGATAGGATGCTCTTTGGAACGGCAGTGTGGACTTGATGTGCCACATAGCCTGCTTCCACACTGTCGGGATTCTATGCTAAATGGTGGCGCAGAGTCAAAGGATAAATGGTCAACGTCTGCTCCTGATTCATGAGTTCTAATCCTTCAAACAGGTGGTCCATCAATGCAATCCAAGCACTAAGAATCTCCAGACTGAAAATTTTAACCTGTAGCCCGTAGGAGGATTTCTCAGGAATGTGAGATTAGTAGTGACGCTGTAAAGGTTAAAGGAGTTGTTAATTAAGGAGACATTTTAACATTTATTGGCCGTAACTAAGCTGAAACTTGCCCTTAGTGGAAGGTGAAAGGACAGAGCTGACGGGTACAAGGTTTTTTAATTAAATAGTTGTTGATTATATTTCCACAATTAGGTACAGAAATTTAAATTCCCACTTATTTACTATTGGTAAGGAATTAACCCAAAAGTAGACCCAACAATGGAAATCTACATTTATTTCAGCTCCTCTGTCCCTTAATCCCTAGAGTGAAGGATTATTTAAAGTTCAACTTGTTCCTCATTTGAAAGAAAACTCTAACTGTATGAATGAAATAAGCAGCTGCACAGTCAAGAGGAAAACATAAATCTGTGAAAGGCCTAAAGTTGCTATTTCACACAACAACCCCTGAAGCAACCCTCTGACAGAACAAACAAGTGCAAAAAAAAAGTAATTCCCATTCCCGGGATAGATCTGCAATGTACTGCATGAATAAACCCAATCATTACTCCCACTGTGTGGGATTCTGAACAGGTAAGAGAGTTAAAAACATTAACAATCCTGAAGAATGCCCATCAGAGAGCTAAGACCACCATGTAAAAAATTAACAAGCTTTGGAGCCTGCAGTGAATGAGTTTATGAAACGCATTCTTTTTCTAACTAGACATACAAACCACTATATATGATCTACTTGTACAGATTGTTGAGCAGTTTTCAAATAAAAGGAGCTCCTGTTTGGAATGTTTAATGATTAAATTTTCTTAATGCAAGGAGACTCGCATAGAAAATAGAAATATTTTGTTTAGAAACCTGATTTTAGAATTGAGAGTGCTATTTGAGGAAAAGAGAAAGATCTCTTATTGCATAAATGCATAAATTTGTTGTTCTTATGGACCATATAGTCATGGAGGTATACAGCATGGAAACAGGCCCTTCAGCCCAACTTGCTCATGCCGCCCTGATCAGTAGAAATTATCAACAGAAGAGACAACATTGCAAAGAACAGTCCTTCAAACAGGCAATGTGGTCAATAGGAAATTTAAAGACAGGTGTGATTGAGTTAATTTGGATTTTACAGGCCAGATACTTGAGATGGGGAGGGCAACATAGCCAAGGACTGCAAAATCCCAAATGGATATAAAATATCATTAAGACCTGAATTTTCACAGGATGGGATGGATTTCCAAATGGGCCACAGTAGTGCCAGAGCCCCAGTTCCCAGGTGCCATCCCTGAAATTGGCATTCACCTTTTAAACAGGGGTGCAGTGAGTTGTAATTTGCATACCCGTGGCTTATAAAGGTTGAGCTGCACATATAAAATGGCAGCTGCTTTCCCAGATTAAGTTTTCATTAGTGAGGTCTCCAAAGTACAACTTGTGTTGAAGATCAAAATTTGATCTAATTTGACAGGGTTCTTTGGTGAGATACAGCACCCTTTTGTAGAGACAAGAGAGCCTTTTGGATAGGTCCAGACAAACCTTTTAGAGAGGTTATTGGGCCTTTGGGAGAGGTCAAATACCCTTGGGATTGTTAAATGTGAATGTGAATTTAAATATTGTGAATAGGTTTTTAGTAACCAATTTTTTTTTTAAAAGAAGATTTCAATCGAGCTTTATGTTACTTAGCCTGGGTCCTCAGGCCTGTCTGTTATGGATATGCCATTTTGGACTCCAGGTGAGTTGGCATGGTGAGTTTAAGGGCAAAGAGTGATGGATAGGAGACATGGGTTGGCATGAATGCAATAGTTGGTTCAGGGTTTTGTAAGGGACCATGTGATCAGTGGGGGAGTCATGGGTTGGCACAAATTGGCATAGTGACTCTGAAAGGCCATGACATGGATAGAAGTGTATAAAGTGGCTTGGAGTATATGAGGAGCCTTGCACGTTGAGTGAAGTGGTATTGGTACATTTGGAGGAAATGGCAGGGGGGCATGGGGATTGATGGATGAGCTACGAGGCTGTAGAGAGGACACTTAAGCTAACATGAGAACTGTGAGGGGCGAAGGCTAGAGTGCTGTTTTTTTTTTAATGATCCCTTTCCTTGCACGTCCTAGATCACCAAAGCTGTCTTTCACACAGCCCACCTCTGCACCACGTAACTGCCTCCACACTGTTTCCAGGAGCACCAAGCCTGGCTCCAGTTAAAATAATCCCCTACCCCACGAACCATCATCATCCAGAAAGTAAATTAAAATGCCTGGTGTACTTTCGCCTTACTAATGAATGAAAATGGAGGCCTAAGTCTTGGTTGACTTAGAACCGTTCAACATGAAAACACAGATTGGCACAGCAATAGGCTAAAGTAGCCAGAAACACTGTGCTATAACTGTTAGAAGGGAGAAGGGAGAAAAATAAATCTTATAATAGATTGAGTTATGACTGCACATTATATCACAACTTTGTGGTTTCAGGACCCACAAATGTAAATTGTTAGATCCTAAGTTAGAGAGCAAGTACAATGAGGGTTGGATCACAGTTTACATTGCCACTGTCAGTTTAAAGATTAAGGGCTTTTATAGCAGAATGGCAATGTCCCTACCTTTGATCCAAAAGGCCTGGGTTCAATACCCATCTGCTCAAGCAGTGTATATCACTTGATTATACAATATCTACATTTTCAGTTTATATTGCTGATGGTGGAAATTCTTTGAAAATTCTAAATTGTTTTAATAAACTATTGATTTCATGTCGAGTTTTTTTTTCATGGTGTTTTTTTTAAACTTAAGTAATTTCCAATCAAATTTCATATCAAGCAGATTATAAATTGTTAAATCAGAATGGCACACAACTCCATCAATAAAATTGCTCTGTGAGGCCACTCTTTGTTGTAAGTTTTTTTTTCTTCTTTGAGTCTTCTGAAGTTGGGCAACCTGTTTGAGGGTCCCAAACTTATGTAAGACACTAGGAGATATGCGAGTAGTCAAATTAACTCTTTCTTCCACTTTTCAGTAATGAGACGGTAAATGGTAAGGTTAGGGTTAGGGTTAACTCATTTACTCCTAGAATCATGCAGCATAAAAGGAGGTCATTCAGCCCAATAACTCTGCTTGCCCTTCTATTGAAAGAGCTTCTCAATTAGTCATTCCCAAAGCTACGGTAAGTGTCTCTTTTGCTGGTGAACAATTACCAGAGAAGCCACTTCTCACGACTTCATATTTAGGAACTTTGGGTATAGCATACTCTGTTTAGTTTCTTGACTGGGCATCAATGATGAAATTTGTGGAAGTTCAACTTCCTTCGACATATACCTTAGTAACTGGCAGCACTAACTTCCATTTCAAACCACAACAGTCTTTCCACTTTGTAGCAATTCTTTCCTTCTCTTCTTCTGCAGTTATGGAACATCCTTCAATTTTGCAACTATCAGGGAAGTTACCTGTGACAAAAAGATGAAGAATATGTTTGAGTGCAATGTTAACATTTTTGCTCCTGTTTTCACCTTAGTTAAGGCTGTTACCTTTAAAGTTTCAGCAAACGATTGGGGCCATTCTAACTCTCACAGGAGAGGTAGGTGGTTTAAATTCGCACACAGGAACTCAACCCTATACCACTGCAAATTCACTTTCGTCTGGTTTATCAAAGCAGACTGAAGGTCATTTCGATAATCGACTTTGAATCTCACCTCCCCAAGCCTTCTCTTTTTCTCCAAAAATCTCTTTAACTTCTCCCAAGAACTCAATATCAAAACCTTTATATAAGTTTGGCCACCTTTTCTGCACTGGCGGCTGGAGAAGTAGCATAGGGGAACAAAGAAATGGCGGAAGAACTGAATAGGTACTTTGCATCAGTTTTCACAGTGGAAGACACCAGCAACGTAACAGAACTTCAAAAGAGTCAGGGGGCAGAGCTGAGTGTAGTGGCCATGACTAAGGAGAAGATACTGGGGAAACTGAAAGATCTGAATCAGTCTGACCGGAGGAACTACACTCGTGTTTTGAAGGCGATAGCTGAGGAGATTGTGGAGATATTGGTGGTGATTTTTCAGGAATCACTGGAGTCCTTGAGGGTCGCAGAAGACTGGAAATTGGCTCTTTGTGTCCTGCTGGTATGCACATTGGTAGGAAAAATAGAGGCATACACTATTTTCTAAATGGAGAAAGGCTTTGGAAATCTGAAGCACAAAGGGACTTATGAGTCTTAGTTCAGCATTCTCCTAACATGCAGGATCAGTTGGCAGTTAGGAAGGCAAACGCAATGTTAGCATTCGTTTCAGGAGAGCTAGAATACAAGAACTGGGATGTACTGCGAAGACTGTATAAGGCTTAGGTCAGATCACATCTGGAATATTGTGAACAATTTTGGGCCCTGTATCCAAAGAAAGATGAGTTGGCCTTGGACAGGGTCCAGAGAACATTTAGGAGAATGAGCCTGGGAATTAAGGGCTTGTCATATGAGGAGCAGTTCAGGACTCTGGGTCTGTACTCAATGGAGATTAGAAGAATAAGAGGGATCTCGTTGAAACTTATATGGAATACTGAGAGGCCTGGGTAGAGTGAAAGTGGAGAAGATATTTCCATTAGGAGGAGAGACTAGGACCTGAGAGTACAGCCTCAGAGTGAAGGGACGACCCTTTAGATCCGAGATGAGGAGGATTCTTTTTCAGCCAGAGGTTAGTGAATCTGTGGAAGTCATTGCCACAGAAAGCTGTTGAGGCCAACTAATTAAGTGTATTGAAGACAGAAATAGGTAGGTCCTTCATTAGTAATGGGATCAAAGGTTGTGGGGAGAAGGCAGAAGAATGGGGTTGAGAAACATCAGCCATGATCAAATGTCTGAGCAGACTCGATGGGCTGAATGGCTTAATTCTGTTTCTAAGGTTTTAGAGTAGATTTGTAGCTCAGGTTGTGGATGTTGTGGTTGGTTGGCTCGCCGAGCTGGTTTGTTGTTTTGCAGGCATTTCATTGCCCAGCTGGGTAACATCATCAGTGCAGCCTCTGATGAAGCACCATTGTGTTTTCCCGCCTGGTATTTAAACTCTGGAGTCCATTAAGCTGGATTACCTCACTTCCAGTTTTCCTTCGCAATGGAGTGTATATGGGGTCGAGTTCTATGTGTTTGTTGATGGCTTTCTTCGTGGAGTACCAGGCTTCTAGGAACTCCCATGCTTGTCTCTGCTTTGCTTGTCCCAGGATCGTGGTGTTGTCCCAATCGAATTGGTGGTTCTCCTTATCCATGTGGATAGTGATGAGTGAGTATTGGTTGTCTCTTTTTGTAGCCAATTGATGTTCGTGTACCCTTGTTGTTAATTTCCTTCCTGCTTGTCCGATGTAGTGTTTGTCACAGTCTTTGCAGGGAACCTTGTATATGATATTGGTCCTATCCATAGTGTGTAGTGGGTCTTTGGTTCGGGTGAGCAGTTGTCGTAGGCTTGATGATGGTTTGTGCGCTATTTTGATGCCCAGTGGTCATAGGAGTCTTGCGGTTAGTTCCGAAGTGTTCCTGATGTAAGGTAGCGTGATGAGTGTGTCGGGGCATGTGGTATCTTCCTGGTGTTGTTCGTTTAGTAGGCATCTTCTGACCCAGTTTTTCAGATATCCATTGTCCTTGAACACCTGAAAGAGGTATTCTTCTTCTTCTTGGCGTAGCTCTATGCTCCTGCAGTGTGTTGTTGCCCGTTTAAATAATGTTCTCACGCAGCTTCGTTTGTGTGTGTTAGGATGGTTGCAGTTGAATTCTGTTTCTATATCTTATGTGGTCTTATAGAATGTCTACACTCTAAAGTATGGTAGAAATTACATATTGCTACATTGAACACATTACAGTTGTCAAAAAGAAAATATAAACTCAGTTAAAATAGATTAAAACTAACTCCCAAATTCCATAAGCGATGTGTTTTTTTTTCTTGGTTAGCATCACAATAACTCAGGAGGAGGCTTTTTCATCTGAGTCAAAACGCTGTGAGCTAAAATCCCACTTGAGAGACATGAGGGCAAAATCCAGGAAGACACTTCCAGTGCAGAACTGAGTGAGTGTTTCAAGTGAAGGGTCCATTACATCAAGGGTCCATCTATCCTCTCAAGTAGCTGTAAAAGATTGTGTGATATTATTTCAAAGAAGTGCGTGGAAGTTCTTCCCATTGCCCTAGCCAACATTTCCTCCTCAACCAACAACAGTAAAATAAATTCGGTGAAGACATAGGAATAGCTGTAAGCCATCAGCCCCTTGAAAGTCTGCTCCCATTCCCAACAGTTCTATTATCTGGTTATTATTTGTTTTTGCTGCTTGTGAAAACTTGCTGTGGTTCAAATTGTCTGTATTGTTTCCCCATTAACACCACGACTTCACATCAAAAGTATTTTATTCGCTGTGAAGTACTTTGGGAGGTCCTGAGATTATGAAAGGGGTTGCATAATTGCAAGCTGTCTTGACAGGGTGGATCTAGAAATGGTGTTGGCAATTAAGTGAGAATCTAGAACTAGGGGGTCACTCTTTCAAAACAAAAGATAATGAATTGAAGACAGAAATGAAGGGAATTTCTTTTCTCAGAGGTTTATGTGTCCTTAAAACTCTCTTCAATAGCTTAGTGCCCCAATTATAAGAACAAGGAAAGCAATACCATGTAAGTGTGCTACGCATTTGTGCAATATTATCCAAAGATTTAAATTTCACACTATTTATGTGATTAAAGAGTCTGTTATCGTCTATTGACTTTTCACGGTACCTTTGAAGTGACTTGTATCAATGTCAATGTGAGTTATTACGCCAGGATGTCCAAGTCTAAAAACAGCCCATTCACAACCAGGTACCTGTAAAATACCCTGATCATCTACCTAGAAAGACAAACAATTAGGCAAAACAGTCAAAATCATGTTTAGAAATGAGCTTTTAGAAAAATCAGCAACATGTACATCAAAAAGTGGGCAAAATTGTGGCAAGCTCCTGGGAATAGGAAATAAAATGGCCAAAGGCACTTAATTGAGTAGAAAGCAAAATGTCAGCTTTCCAACAGTGGAATGAAAGTTGGTGGTAGATTTGAGAATGGATCCGAATCAAGCAGTGGGAACCATTTTTTAATGTTCCTGCAAGGCACGATGGCTCAGTGGTTAGCACTGCTGCCTCACAGCACCAGGGACTCGGGTTTGATTCAACTCTGGTGACTGTGTGGAGTTTGCACATTCTCCCTGTGTCTGCATAAGTTTCCACCGGGTGCTCTGGTTTCCTCCCGCTGTCCAAAGATGTGCAGGTTAAGTGGATTGGCCATGCTACATTGCCCATGGTGTTCAGGGATGTGTAGGATTGGTGTGTTAGCTATGGAAAATGCAGACATATGGGGATGGGCCTGAATGAGATGCCCTTCAGAGGGTTAACATGGACTCATTGGGCTGAATGGCCTGTTTCCACATTGTAGGGATGCTAAGAAATCAAACTCATGAAAAGATAACTTCGACAGATAGGTATTTCAAATTAGGTACGCAGCAAACAAGAAACATGCCCTCAGATTTGTGACTGGTTAAAGGTGTGCACAGCAGGGGAGGTAGGGTCTAGTGGTCTAGATAGAGTAGGAGCTGCTTGTTCTTATCTGGAGAACAGGGGGACAAGACCCATTGATTCATTGAAATCGTACGGCAGCTGTGAAAGAGGAAAAAGGACATCACTAACCAAGGGAGGGTAGACCCATGAAGGCTTGTGAGAAGTGGAGGGAGGAAGCTGGACTGTAGAGGGCAGATCAATATCTGCAGTAGTGTAAGCATGACTATGGAGAGTTCAAGAGTTATATATGGTAGGTCAATGTTGATGTCCTGAGAATAAAGGGTATCAGAGTAGGTCAATGATGATAGTGGGGATGGACAGAGATGAAGGATGGTGGGTCAAGGGTAATGAGGGAAATTTCAGTGCGCTGAACCCTTTAATTAAGGGGGAGGTGCCAGGGCAATGGCTAGTTGGTTAAGAACAATGGGTCTTGCTTCAAGGATTACCAGGGACAGGGTAAGGAGATAGAACAATATGCTGCACAGGCCATGTGATACTCTCACTGCACCCAGAATCAAGTGCCTGTAAGATCACTTGATCTGCTCTTCAAATATTGCTGTGTCAGTGCCAGCTGATCCAGAATTTATAACTTCTCACAAATTGCCAGACTGGTGCTGCTGGAGGGCAAGAAGTGGATATTATCAAATGTGATGTCCTAACCTTCATACACAGGAGAAAACAGCAGGGCCTGCTACTATCAGACTACCCCTACCCTTTGATTGTCTAGGCACCCTATATCTAATAGACTGACTGCCACATGACTGTGTGTGACCAGCCACTATTTTTCTGAGCAGAAGTGATGTCCATTTAAAGTCTTGCCATTGGGATCTACAGTATGAGAAAGTGCCCATAGTGAGTTACAAGTGCCAACATCAGTGGATTGACCATTAGTTCCCTACCTTTAAAATTGTCGGTCTGTCCAACCTCCTGGCTGTCTCCCATCCATCAGACATTACATTGGATCTTCCAATGCCTTCAGGGGTAGGTTATAGTTTAAAATGTGATGAATGTTAAAATATTAAAAAGAGAAATCAAGCACAAGGGGTTACTTAATTTGTCTTCACTGAAAATAGTAAGGGAGATAAAAGAAAGGGGCTAATCTAAGTTGTCAAGCAGCATTAACCTATAATATTAGTGGTTCATCTATCTCATTGGCACCATTAGGAGAATTGAGACAAACTACTGAGTGTTCAATAAATAAAATTTTGGCGACTTTGAAATTAATATTTCATGGCACAGCAGATATGGTTTCATATGTATCCAAATAAATATATCTCAGTTGACCTATATATATTTAATGCATGCATTTATGATTGAAGAATTAACATTATTGTTTGTAGAATTGACTCTTCTAGTAATACTGCCAGGCAAAATTGCGTAATTTCTTTTTAAAGAAGTATATTTAAAAAAAAGGAGTAAGACTCCTATCATGAGAAAACTGCTACGTTAAAGGCTGTACCTGCAAATGCCACAAGGACTGCCAATTGTTGTTTCTTAGCGATACAAAATGTGAGATAATACCTGCAAGTAAATGCATTGCAATGAATTACCGATAATGTTCTTAGGGTGTCCAAAATGAGCATCACTGTATCCCAAGCATACACCTCCATTGGTCATTGCAACCAGATCTATTTCCTGCTTTGGTGAAACTGATAGCCAATCTCTGTGGCCTGTGCCGTAGACTCTGAGTCGTGCAATTCCACCATCTGAAGAAAGGAAATAAGGAGCATTAAATATCTCAATGTGCTTGGCCCGATACGTAAAAAAGAATGTTGCTTATGGTGCAGCCATTGCTGACATTGCATTATTTCTATTTGGTTCTTTTATCAGTTTTGGTTTAGAAGCTGTGAATGGGAAATTGTGAGCCAAGGATGATTATCATCATGCTCCTTCCTCAGTGATGTTCACACTAAGGAGCATCTTGCTTCTCCTTGGTTCCTTCATATTTAAGGAAAAGCCATTGAATGATTACCTGGGTACATGTTCAGTCTGATGTGAGTCCATCGCTCCAGTTTCTGAGCAGGAAAATAATTATGGCAAGTATCAACATAGCCCGGTTGCAGGATTGTCATTGGAACCAAAACAGTCCAGAACTCCGACTGCAACTATCATGGAAGGTATAGTAAACAAGAGAAAGTTGAAGACTTTCTTTTATTGTTTATAATTTTATTTTAAGAACAGTCCACCAATTTATAGTAAAACATTCTAAAATAAAAATCAAAACTGCCAAGTAATTTTTCAACAGAACATATACTTATCTCACATACCCCCAACTACACCTCTCCCTACCACCAACATGCCCCGGATTCTACCCTAAACACTGCATCACTTACCTTGCCACCTTGCATCTTACCCAGTTGGAACCCTACTCCTACCCAGTTCTTACTTGACACCCTACCTATTTGGCATCATACACACCTGGAACCTACCCCTACCCATCTGGCATTCCTATCCCTGGCCCTCTACTCACAGCTGGTACCTTACTTCCCTAACTCTCTACCCTGCACGAACCTGACTAGTGTGGCACCCTGCCCTCTACTCATCTGGTATTCTAATCCCAGCACCCTACACCTGCCCAGCTGGCACCATTCCCAACTGGCGTACAATTTACTTGGTACCCTGTTTCTCCTCCCTCTACCGATTTGGCACACTACTCTCCCAGCATCCTGACAACACACTTACATTATGTACTGAGATAGTAGGAACTGCAGATGCTGGAGAAGCTGAGATAACAAGGTGTAGAGCTGGATGAACACAGCAGGCCAAGCAGCATCAGAGGAGCAGGAAAGCTGACGTTTCGGGTCTAGGCCTCCTCCCAGAAATGTAGAGCTTCCTTCCTCCAATGGGCAAAGTGGCAATGTGCGTGAGATTACCAGTCCTTGGAAAATCCTGCCCATTATTTCTAAACTGTATTAAAGGCACCAGAAAGTATTATGGTAACACTGTGTTGCACATTTGCCTCTGAGGAAGAGCATGGGGTTCAAATCCACACCAGAAACTTGACATCCAAAGCAGGTGTATCAACAAACAGGTTAAGTATCAACTCGTAAATCCTTCTAACCTATTCCAGGCAGTAAGACAGGTGAGATTCATGACAGCCTTGTAATGGAAAGAAGTGTGGAGCCTCTACCATCACTATTCATGGCTCCAGGCTACTGTACGCATGTACAAGTATACGTTGCCACAGCACATCCTTGGGGGTTGTTCAGTTGCCTTCCTTGGTTGGGCCACAAATGTGGATAAAATTAATGCCAGTAACTCACACAGCTTGAGCCCTCTTGCAGTTGAGATAAATTTGGGAACTGCAACCTTGTCCAACCCATGATGGAAGAGTTTATGGCACTATGGGTCGGACTTGCCTTTGGGCAGAGGACTGAGGAAGAAGATTAAGGGCAGCATGCACTTGCTGCCACCTAGTTAACAATTTATGGTAAAATGCCATCACTGATCACATGGGTGTCCTACAATTAAATAGTGTAGAAGAGCACAAAAAATTAAATAACGCCCTACTTTTTTTCTGCAGAAAGGTTGCTAATGGCAGCTGTCAAAACTTAGAATTTGTGCACGTTTAGATTTTAACATCTTTTTGTGTCGCATTTGAACTGCTAATGGCACAACAAGAGAAACAAGACATCTGAGACCTCTGTGAAAAGGGAAACTTGAAATTGTTCATGTCTCTCAAATCAAATTAGACTGCAGGATTCAGAAATAAACTACAGCAGGGCTAAAAAGGAGCATAAAGTACAGTGAGTGAATTCATTGTTAGATGAGGTACAGAAAGAGAACAGAATGGATTGAGACAAAGGCGAAAGTGACAGAAAGGTTAAAAAAAGTCAGGGTCAGATATATTAATGTGATAATTAACAATTTGGTGCCTAGTTAAAATAGTGTTCATATTTGTAATGATAAGACAAAACATTTTGTGGTACTTTCCTAAATGTCTGCTGCAACAATCAAGAAACTTCACAATATTCAAGGAATATTAACGGTGAGACAGAGATTTGTTTTTAAGTTAATGGCAGAGTAGCACACTTTATGCAGCAGCTTTTAGATATTGGAATGTAATCACATTTTTGCCCCTTGCCTGAAGTTACTATATCATTTACACATAAGTAATTGCAGGCGCATTCATCTCACTTATTATAACAGCTGATTGATGCTGTACTGATCTATTGGTGCAATAGTAATTTATAGTCTCATCATGACTTTGTACTACATGCAAGCCGCAATAGGTGAAAAATTACAGATAGTGCACCTGCCATTTACAAATCCACACTCAGAACATGCCAGGCACCTTTATCACAAATGTACCAGAAATCTACCCTAATGTCCACCATAGTTATGCAAAAATTTTAACTATCATTACTGGCAGAAATACTTAAAACCTTTAGTTATCTACCACAAGGAAATTAAATTTCATCGCTGACAAACCTTTCCGACAGCTTCAAATTCCTTCTCTGAAGCAGCAGTTCCTATTTTCTCCCCTCTTGGGGGCAGGTCTGGAGTTTCATCTGGTCAGTAGGAGATATTAAAGATACGTGAGCTCAATATGCCTGATTGTAATGCTCATAGATAACAGCTAATGTGCAACCGACAGCTAATCCAAGGATGGAGAGTTAGTAGCTGGGCAAAATTAAAGAACCTAGTGATGGAGAATAGGAGTTCTGGAATATACAAGCCCTGCAGATTGAACCTGGAGTAATAAAAAGATTTGGCCATGTTGTAGCAGCAGGAGTGTGACATCCCGAGAGTTCTGATGGGGATGACAGCGTGATACTGGTTCAATGTTAACCCTTTTGCCTGGGTCAAAGGAGCATCTGTTAAAACTCTGTTTGAGAACATAACCAATGTTGACAGATCAATGAAAAATGCGGGGCACTGTCAGAGCTGCCATCTTTTGGAAGAGATATTAAACAAATCCCCATTTAATCTCTTGGGTGGATGCAAAAAATTACATAGCACTATTCAAAGAGACAGTGTACCACCATAAAAGACAAATTAACTGGTAATAGAATCAGAGATAGTAGGAACTGCAGATGCTGGTGAATCCGAGACAACAAGGTGCAGGGCTGGATGAACACAGCAGGCCAAGCAGCATCATAGGAG